AAGGAGGCGATAGGGATTGAACTCTCAATCCCCGTGTTACTAACCAAGATGTTAAGGAGTGCTCCAAAGAGAAGGGAGAGTAACCACGTCAACTAAATGGCAGAAGAAAAACTGAATCTTAGAGGTTTTTTTTTTAAAGGAAAACAAAATAACTCCCCTTTATGATTTGACTTCAATGTGCAGCTTCAGCGCAAAGCATGCAAACAAAACTCAAAAAATATTTTTTTAATACTTACACTGGGAAAAAACTGGGAGAGAACCCAGAGCTACTAACATTTGAGAACAGAGAGAGGCAATACAATTTACTGGTTAGTCAGAGACATGCACGTGGCAGCATGGACTCAAGACTGAATGGCGAGCTGTGGGAGAGCTCTCCTTAAGTAGTCATTGACAGATGCAGCCGATCAGCCCTAATCATCCTAAACTGATTCATTATCTCCCCCTAGCAGTCGAAAGAAGCCTAGCACAAGGCTGAGATATTACAGTACCCTGCACGCAGTGGTGGGGGAACAGAGGTGGGAGCCAGAGGACTACGAAGGACTGGCTTCTAATGTGAAATTTGGAATGTTGGGTTAATTCACATGGTCTGGAAGAGGAGAAGCCTGTTACTAGATTAACCTGATGTAGTACTTTGAAAGGACATATATAACGTGAAACCAGTTTTTTGGACTCCATCTTTAGTAGCCGGTCCTTCGTGGAGTGCCAGACTACTTGCCCTGGATTTGAAGGAAGGGCCCAAATGTTGCCTTCAGTCGGCAGTTACCTTCTGTCATGCCACTGCTTTTTGCAGTGCTGCATGGGCCTTTTGCCACAATCACTGACACCGTAGCAAGTCTCAGACTGGGCGGACCTCGACCTCGGACTCCTGCTAAGGAAACATGGGCAGAGGATACCCAAACTGGTACTCAAAGGGTTACATGCACAGAGAGGAGTTCCACAAAGTGTTATGGGCATACTCCGTCTAGAGCAGATGCTCACACCAGGTGATGGGTTTAGAGGATGCCAAGCATCTGAGCATCCTTTCAAGGTCCTGGTTTATCCTCTCAGTCTGCCCATTCAACTGAGAGTGAAAATCCAAGGATAAATGTATGGAGGTCCCCAGTAATTTGCAAAATGTCCCCCCAAAACCTGCTGGTAAACTGGAGCACCCAGTCAAAAATCACATGGGAAAACCATGAATTCTGACCACATACTGCTGCAGGACCATGGCCATCTCTTTAGCTGAGGGGAGTTTTGTCAGGACTATAAATTCTCAATGGGGGCTACCACCATACTAAAATTTAGAATGAAACAATGGAAAAAAAAAATGGTGAAGTCCAGAATGCTTTGGACCATACAAAGAAATGTGGGTCCTGAGTCCTGGATCCATATTCAGTTTGTTCTTGGGAGACAACAAACCTGAGAAAATTTACTGGCTGGGCATGGAGGATGGATTTCTCCAGCTGTACTTATAAATGATTCTTGAGCAGAAGCTGAAGTACTCAACACACCTAAGTTAGAACAACTATAGATGAGGATATCTTCTAGATAGATGAGTGCGTACTGGTTCAGTGTCTCTCTGAGAAACTCATTAATGAACTGCTGGAAGACAGTGTGAGCATTCATGAGTCCACGCAGCATTACAAGGTATTCATCTCTAGGACCCAACCCGTAAGTAGCGAGATGACAAATGCTACCTTTGAACGTTCAGTGGGGAACTTGGAGAGTTGCTGCTCGAAAGCCAATGAACATTAAAGGAAACACCTCCTACAAAGCCCAGGATCCCCATTATACCTTTCGGGGAAAGGTAGAGTAGGTTCTGCTCTAGGAACAAAACATAGGAGGAGGTGGGGTCACTACAGGCTAGAATGGAGATTCTGCCAATTGAGTCTCAGTTATGGTGGTGGCCAGGCCCTGCAGCTGCATTGATATTTGCTGCAGGACCTGTTGATGATGGCCAACAGCTGACCCTGACTTGCTAAGGTGTTCCTCAACTGGTCAAGCTGAGACTGCTCCACTGAGCCCATGTCCTGGCTCAGTCTTGCTGTAATGTGGTCAGTGGTTATTCTTCATGGGGTCAAACCCACAATCCTAGTCTGTAGGTGGGAGCGTTAATGGGAAGCCACTGGCCAGACATAAGAGGCGGGACTCAAGTGCAGAGCAGTAGAGACTTAAGAGAAAAACAAACACAAAGACAACGTGTCAAACGTTGAAACTGAAAAATGTTATAGTTTTTTTAAAAAAAAATATATGCCCATTTGAATTTGATGCCAGCAACAAGTGCTGTTTCAAAATAGTTCTGAAAGGGGCATGTTTACCACTGTGTAGCATCCCCTCTACTTTTAACAACGTTATGTAAGCGTTTGTGAACTGAAGAGACCAACCGATGTAGTTTTGAAAGTGGAATGTTTTTAATCCGCCAAATGTTTTCAATCGTTGACTAGCATGGACTGCAGGGAGTGGAATTTAGTTGCGAAATGTGCAGAATGTGATTTGGCATTGTCTTGCTGAAATAAGCAAGGCTTTCCCTGAAAAAGATGTCTGAATGGCAGCATATGTTGCTTCAAAACTTGTATATATCAGTCAGCATTAATGGTGCCTTCACAGATGTGCTAGTCACTCATGCCGTGTATATTGATGCATACCATCCATCTTGGATGACGGCTTTTGAACTGTGTGCCAATAGCAAGTCAGATAGTCCTTCTCCTTTTTAGGCTGGAGGACGTGGCGTACATGAGTTCCAAAAAAATTTCAAATTAGATTTTTCAGACCACAGGATACTTGCACTTCATTTCAGTCCATTTTAAATGAGCTTGGGCCCAGAGAAGGTGATTGCATTTCTGGATCTTGTAAATGTATGATTTTTTCTTTGCATTCTTTGTATTTGTTGGGGTGTGACAAACTGTGTCTGCAGACAGTGGTTTGGAATGTTCTTTTCATATCCAAGCATGTTACTGACCTGTTGCCAATTAACCTAATTAGGTGTGAGATGTTCTACCAGGCGTTTTTTAGCACTACACTATTTTCCCATTCTTTTGTTACCCCTGTCCCAACTTTTTTGAAACATTTTGCTGGAATCAGTTAAAAAAATTACATATATTTTTCAAAAAAAACAATCAAATTTCTAAGTTTCAACATTTGTTATGCTGTTTTTGTACAATGTTCAATTTAACATATAATTTAAATCATTTGCACATTATTGCAATCTGCTTTTATTTACATTTTGCACAGCATCCTGACTCTTTTGGAAATGGGGTTGTACATGTGTTCTGAAACTTTTTTAAGACAATCATCTCTATTTCTTTTGTCTAGAAAATTGATCATAATGGTATACTCTCCTGTGTGTACTGGAAGAACACTGAATGGGTTGAAGATGGGTGTTTCCTTCTCCAGACCAACAGCAGCCACTCTGTGTGCTCCTGTGTTCACCTGTCAACCTTCGCTCTCATCATGCAGACTGACCCACTTGTAAATGACAATGTAAGATCAAATACGTATGTGAAAGTGTGCCAAAAGCTTGATAGCTTAACAACATCCTAGAAGAGTCATTAAACTACAATGTAGTTTAACTCTGTAAAATGCTTAAACTGAGAGGGACACTTGGGGTTATAATTTTATTTTTAAGTTAAGTTATTTCTATTTTTAAGTTAAGTTTAAAAAATAATCTGCTAAAGAGGTTGTGTTTACTTGTATTTCAGTGAAATATGTAAATCTAAACACTGGGTGCCAAGACAGTTGTATACCTGTTTCTGCAAATTATAAATGTCAGGTTACTCTTTACAGTATCCTAAACATAATTATGCACAATGGATCATTTGTTGTAACTGTAGGGGAGTAATCCAATCTTCACTTGCAGTTTTTGGCAGAAAAACAAAACTAGCTATGAACGGTTTAATTTTGGGCTTTTTCAGAGCGATCCTGTGATAGATGTTATTGGCATCTTGGCTATGGCTGTAGGGCTGGTGTTCCTGAGCTTGGCCCTGTTGACCTTTGTCCTTTGTCGTCGAAATCCAAGAGTGACCAACACAGCTCGGATCAATCTCTGTATAAGCCTGCTGCTGGCCCACCTTCTCTTTCTGCTCACACAGAAGTTCCTGCATAACATACAACCTCAGCAGGTGAGTACAACTACCTTTCTTGGGGTGAGGGGCACAGGAAACCAATTCCTCTATCGCACACTGCAACCAAGCTGGGACGGTCTGCTTCCTCTATGCTTACTTTCTTCCTCCAAGACATGAGCTGCATCTTTTTAAGCTCATGCAACATCAGTGGACAGCTAAACGTTTTGGTGGAGAATGAGAGCAGTGCACTAAACAACAGGGAAAGGACATACCTAGACGGCAGCATCCTGAATGATACAAAGAAGCATGCTAGACAATACAGGACGATAACACCCAAAGAACACCACATGTCAAATGTAAGACTGCTATTTGATCGCCCTCCAAATTACGCATTCTCAATTACTCTGATGCCAGTGGGTGAAGCCCAGACACCCACAGCTGCTTATAAAACTGATTCTCTTTATCATAGGCAACTGGCAAGTGCTTAAAATCATTAAAACAATTACAAACATTACAAAAGTCAATCGTAGCCACTATTACATCAAGCCAAAACTGGTATCCAACAAAAAAAGGTCATATGTAGTCCACTGCTCAAATAATTTGATCAAACTGTTACGAAAGAAAGGGGTAGTCCCATTCAGTCTACTATAGCGCCTTTCATTTGTGTTGCTGCATAACAGCACTTGTTGCTTTCAAGAGCTGTCAAGGAGCAGCCCCTTTTTAACGCCATGCCTCATGCCTCAAGTCACAAAGCCTTCAGGATGTCTACACTAGAACATCAAGTAATCAAAAGAGGTCAAAACATAAACAAACCAAAGACATGTCGTAGAAAAAACATGACAAAATAAAACTTCACCTAATACAAAACAGAAAAGAAATACCAAGTATGACAAAGAAAGGTACAATCTTATATTAAAGATTAAGGCTTCACAAAATGAAAACATTAACCTGAGTTGCTCAGGGCCGCAACTAAAAAAATAACAATCACCCCTTTTTATACTGCTTTGGAGAGGTTACTCACCCCCAGTACCTCATCTCACCTGATCTGTCTTACCATCACATGCAACTCTGGCTATACTGGGTTCTATTCTATCCGTAACAATTTTGTATCTTTTACGTACACATTGTTTCTTCAGTTAGCCTTGGCCTTCTGTGACAAACACCCTTGTTTTTCTTCTAAAAGTGCCATGTCATCCTTCATTAGCCATTTCAGTGAATTTCAGTCAATTAATATACCATTATATAAAATAATAATCACTGACTTTGAGTCATTACATTTTATTACCATTATCTAATAAGTTAAAACTTGTTATTTGTTGGCTATGCTCTTGATCACATCATATCACATCAATTAACATATCCCTCTTTTCCATTTTTTCATTGATCAAGAGAGTGCAAAATAAGTTAGAATCTATTGATTATCCCTTAAGACTAAAAAGGTTATTCCTAATTGTGACTGAGCTAACAACTGTTAAAATATGTGTTTTGTACATGAAATGTAATAAAGTTATGGTCCAAACTATGTCTCTCTGCATGTGTGTGCAGGCCGAGGTTCCTAAACAATGGCCAAATGTACCTGTCATAGTTACAATTTATGTTCAGGATGGTACTGAGCAGTGTTTCCCAGGCCTGGTTGAAACATATGTAGCACTCCAGGACAAAGCCTGAGCACATACAGAGAGGCCTTGCCCGTACACATAGAGGCCTACACTCACACACAGAGGCCTGCACAGAGAGAAAGAGAACCAACACAGCACAGTGTAATTAAGTATGGAATCAAATCAACCATTAATGTGGTTAAAACTGATGTGTTTCTCCTCTCAAATACATTCTTAATAGTATACTGTACAAACAGAATCACCGTGTGCGTGTACTTCTACCATGTAGAAACTAAAAAATAGAGAAAAAACATTGAATAAGAAGGTGCAAACTTTTGACTGGTACTGTGTCTGTCCTTAAACTGACATGGATCACTTAAGTCTTTCTTTTTCTCGCCATCTCATTGGAGTAAGCCTTCATGGACTGTTTTGAAGCAAGAACATTTTGAACTGAAGTAATTATCTAATAGCAGATGTTTTGAAAATAAACTAAATTTCTCACAGGTTTAAAGCTCAAGGTTAAAGAGCACAATTCCATATATCTCCCTAAGCATACTTCACACTGCTTGGTTCACATTTATGAAAGGTGAATTCATGCTAAGGAAATTAGACCTTGATTTCTTATTGTTTTATTTAATTTCTCATTCTCACATCACTCTAATTGCTACCGCTGCAAAATTATCTGAAGTGCTACGTGAGCTCAAGATACGTTCCAGTCTGGTTAAAATTCAATTTTATTGGACAGAGGTATTAAACTGCTACCAGACCCTAAACAAATTCTCCACCAAGTACAAGCTAATGGTGGTCTTGTTTTTTGAGCAGAACATTTAATGCTTAGTTACATAGGAGAAGAAAATAGCGCCCAATGTTGGTCCAGAGTGTGTCTGACTCTGTGTATCTCATAAATTTTTCTTTGCAAAATTTAAGGAGGAAAATGGAGTTTTATGAACAGTGTGGATTTGATCCAGAATGTACTGTCATACTCAAAGGTGTTATGGCAGGGGTCAGTCTAGAAAAAGAGCATGAAGTGTTTGATTCGCTGCATTATGTAGTCAAGGTTCAGCACATTAATATGCAGTTCAGTACTTTTTTATGCCAGTTTTGCAAATGTATAACTCCAATGCTTTTGGAGGCCTAGAATCCAGATGGTTCTTGGTGGGTCATTCAGACAGAGGAGTATTGCCCAGACAAAATAAAAACAACTCCCAAGAGTCAAAAGCTAGCTCTGTTAGCTTATGTCATTGATGATATGACAGTCAATTTTAGAGAGTAGATTGATGAGTTTGCCAGCATCTACAATGTCAACACCATTACCTTAAGTCAGAAAGCTCTGAGCTATGTGTGGGAAGGGAAATCATAAAATTAACCCTCTAACATAAACTACTGCCATTTGTCTCAAACAAAATCCTCCCTCTGACACATTAGGGTGTGTCCACAGTGAAGTAAAAGGTCCATTAGCTCCTACACAAGTGGCCAATGCTGATTCCTCATTTGTAATTCCCATACCATCTGATGCTCATTGTGTCCTTATGGAACATATCATCAAGCATGACTCCCAAACATATGCTGCCACTACACAAGAGATACCGTCATTCTCTGGAGATTTCCCAAAACCCTCTAATGAGGCAGGCTAATGTAATAATCCAGCTAATGCTAGTGCAAAAAATATCGTGTGAGGCATCGACATAGACAACAACAACAGCAAGCCCTAGAATGAAACCTGCCTTTAAACTTTTAGGAGATCCTGCTGTGGAACAAGCAGGATCTCAAAATCAAAATAGTTCCTCTTTCTTGAGCCACTGCTGTATGGACTGTCATCAATTGCAGAACTATCTACACAGATTTCAGATGGCCTTGTTAGTGATACTTTTGAAAGTTTTGCTTGGTTAGATGGAGCACAATGCCCCTTAATAATAACACTAATAATAATAATAATAATAATAATAATAATAGATTCAGGCTCACAGATAACAATTGTGAGCCATTCGTTTTATTCAATTGATTTAGTTCACCACACACTATTCTCTATTGGCAGTGTCCTCAAAAAGTTCCCTATTTAGTATATATTAAGGTGGAAGTTCAGTTTCCACATGTTGCATGAGTCAGCGCTTCAACACTGGTACTTGTGATCCTGGATCAGTCATATAATGCAAAGTTTTTTTGGCTTCTTGGCATGTCTTGGATCAACTGACACAGCACTGTATAAAAGAAGATGGATCGCAATTTCTCAAAACCTTACATGTCCAGACCAGTTAATCTCTGCCATGTGCTCAGAGGAAATTCGAACACCTGGAGGTCTCATAGTCTATGACCAAATGGTGGATGTGAAAGTCCCACAAGGCTTTTCCCAAAATGATCTCAATATTGGCACTGCTTCAGGTGTCCAGCATTGTATAGAGCTGGAGCCACTTGTCCCATACAAGGAACACACAAGATGTGTGATTTTAATGACCTGAAAGCATTTGCAGGATCTCAGGTATTATTGAAGAATCTAACAGTCCTTATGCACCCTAACTGCACTTGTGAGAAAGAAAAATAGGGGACTAAGGATTGTATTAGGTTACAGAAACCTGTCAAGAAAGATTCATACCTACTACCTCATATAGAGAAGAAGGTTCAAAATGGTTCAGTATCCTCGATCCTAGGTGTGGGTACTGTCAGCTCAAGGTTGAGCCTTCTGAATGATCTAAGACAGCCTTCACAACCCTGTTTGGAAATGGCAATTTTGCTGTACGCTGCAAGGCTTATCGAACTCACCAGCCACATTCATGATATCAGACTCAGAGGCCTCTATCTCTACCACAAATGGTAGGATTAGGATCAAAATGGGGGCAGTATTGAATCTTTCTTTAAGTGTCTCAAACGGATTACTTGCCAGAGGATTCCAGCGGAGCATTTTAAGTTTTCCTTAGGGTAGAGAGGTGAGAGGAGCAGCAACACTACTAAAACCACAAATGAACCATCTGTAGAACCATCGAACCATCTGTTCTACACCAAGATGGCACCGAGAACGGCTGCTGTGTTGCGAGCTCCCTTCAGTTCTTTTAGTTTTCTGTTAATTGTGTGTTCATTTGTAACCATTTTTGCACCAAATGTTGCCAGCACCCTCGTTTATGACAGACAAACACTTTTGGAAATCACTCTCTGAAAACTGGACTTTGAGTTTCTGAACACAGATCCATTGTTTGGGAACCTCAAAGAGGCCCCATTCATCTGGGCCAACCAAACATACAGTCCCTGGACAACAAAATCAGTGAACTCAGGGCACGAATCTCTTTCCAGTGAGAGACATAGCACTGCTGTGTAATCTGCCTCAGAGAGACCTGGCTATCAGCAAAGATTCCCAACAAGGCCATCTAGCCCGCGGGCTTCTCTGTGCACTGTGCGGAGGGAACAAAGGACCTCTCCGGGAAGAGTAAATGGGGAGGTTTATGTTTCATGATCAGCAATGCTTGGTGTGATCAGAGAAATGTACACTTCATGAGACCTGGGATATCTAATCATCTCATGCAGACTGCTGTGCTTGTTGAGGGAGATTTCTAGGGTCATTGTCACTGCCATGTACATTCCACCATGGGCTGATACAGACCTGGCACTCAGTTGCTCTGGTCTCTGCTCCTATCTGCTCCTCATTACTTGCCACTCTGGACCCACTGCAATTTGCCTACAGACAGAACAGATCCACTGATGATACAATAGCCCTGACTCTACACACTGCCCCCTCCCATCTGGACAAAAAACACACATGTGAGAATGCTGTTTGTGGTCTGTAGTTCAGCATTTAACACCATCGTGCCTGCAAGGCTCAACATTAAGCTTCGGGATCTGGGTCTGAACAGTTCTCTGTGCAGCTGGATCCTGAACTTCCTGACAGGCTGATGCCAGGTGGTAAGGATAGGCAACATCACCTCCTAATCACTGATCCTTAACACCGGAGCTCCTCAGGGATGTGTGCTCAGCTCTTTCTTGTATTCTCTGTACACCCACAGCTGTTCAGCCAGACACAGCTCCAAAGTCATCATCAAATTTGCAGACAACACCATGATTGTGGGCCTGATCTCCAATGACAACAAGGAGGCCTACAGAGAGGAGGTCAGATTCCTGACACATGCTCTGTGTAGGTCAAGCTTGGTGAAGAAACATGCTTGGCAAACTTGTTCAATGGCAACAGGTACTAAGGGGAAAGGATAGCAGTTTTTAGTAGTAATGGCATTTAAACTGTGGTAATCAATACAAGGAAGCAGCCCTCCATCTTTCTTTTCCACAAAAAATAAACTGGGCGCTGCTAGGAAGTAGAAGTAGGGAATTGCAATGGCATCAGGTGTTGTTGGACTCTCAATGTTAGTGGTGAGGCAAAGGAACGATAAACAGTGACTATGGCAATAAGGGCTCCATTGTATTAATTCTCCCATAGACCAAGAGAGGACAGGGTTATGTTTAGAGAGCCAAGGATATCCTACCACAAGTGGAGATTCGGGGGTATCCATAATGAAAAAGGTTTGAAAATACAGGGAGCACTGCAGTATAAACTAAAAGCAGCTAGCAGATGTTCGGTTCAGCCTGTCTGTCTGCTGCCTGGCCTTGGCCTTGATCTGTCAGTGACTGACCATCCTACACTGATGGTTATCTGAGAGACTACGTGCTATGGTACAAGCTTAAGATAATCTAGAGCCAGTGCAACCAAACAAACATTCATAGACCAACAGTGAAGAATCTAAAGTCACTCTCTAAGTAGCAGGAAGGAACAGAAACACAGCTAATAAAGGCTAACAAAGCCATAAAGAGATCTGGAGCCAGCAAAGTCTAAAGCTAGCAAGGCTAAGAGAGCTAAGAACACAGAATGCCAGCAACCAAACAATTGAGCCAAGATCTGAAACATTTGCCATATGCTGTCCAGGACTGATGACAAACTCTGGCACGCCGCTTTTAAAGTCCAAGCTCTACCTTCTTGGGCTCACTTCTGAGAAATGATGTCCATGAGGTAATTATGACTGACACAGCCAGAAGAGCAGGAGACGAGCAACCGAGAAGGGAGAGAAAAGAAAACATACATGCCCAGGCACTGACACTTAGCAGCGAGTAATGTGCAACAACTACTTGAAAATGTACAGCAAGAGACTAACATCATAGAGTGGAGAAAACAGCAAACATTCCCGCCAGCAACTTCAAAAACAGAAACTAAGTCAGAGCTCAGGCTCGTCACAATAAAGGGAAAGGAAACCTCCAGAGGGCAGCATGCTAAATGTCAGAGAGAAAGAAATAACAGTGTATACATCAAAATGTATTATCTACATATACGTCCAGAATCAAGGATGGGTGACCAACAGTGTTTACAATAGTGTTAAGCTGCAGTCACACTTGAACATTGCAGTTTGATGTGCCTTGTGAAATAGGTATGACCAAGCCTGGAGCAAACGATTGATGTCGCAGAAATCCTCAGTTTTGGTAGAGAAAGACAAAAGAAAGACCATAGTTGATAGTTGTTTTCATGACAGCATTTCTAAGGCAATAGTCCTCAATTTTCCATACCAGTGCTCTCATTGTGAGCTAAACCTGAGTGTAGCTGTATGAGTAAAGCTGTACTACACACATCTCTCTCTCTCCCCCCCAGCTGCTGTGTGCAGTGCTGGCAGGCATTCTGCACTTCTTCTTTCTCTCTGCTTTTGTGTGGATGTTCATTGACGCTGCTCTACTCTTCATCTCCATGAAGAACCTAACAAAGATCCGATCAAACGAAAAGGCGGGTCTTCTGTGGAAATTGCTGGTTGTGATTGGATACGCTGTACCTCTGTTTGTGGTGGGTGTATCTGCTGGAGTGTTTCCTAATGGATATGGCAGTGAAAGGTGAGTGTGGAGAGTGGGACAGATTTCAACAAATATGGGATGATTTTTGAAATTTTGAAATTTTAGTTTATGGCAAATTTTAGATCTTGCTTTGCAAAAAATGTTACTTAGAGCAGGTTAAGTGTAGGATGAATTTATTATGTTTGTGTGTGTTTCTTTGTAGGTGCTGGCTTAAGACAGGCTTTTTGTGGAGCTTTCTGGGGCCTGTTAGTTTCATTCTTGCAGTAAGTACTACATACTTGAAATAAAGCACTTAGCAGTCATGTGGAACATTATGAGGATGTTGCTTGTTTTTTTGAGCATCCTTTTTTTGGTATAATGTCAAACTCTTTAAACAAGATTCTATTGACAGGCTTCCAAAAGCTCAAAATTCTTTGAAAGTTTGTGGATAATTACAAGACGTTGATTATTGTTTTTTAGGCAAATGATGGACAATGTATCTATACTGATGTGTTGAAGCCAATGATGGAAGTCAATATATATATAAAAATGTATGCCTCTAAAAAGAGTTTACTAAATTAGTTAATAAACGTGAATAAATGTGAGCTGGTTATTGGGGACATAGAATCAGAATCAGAGTGACCTGTCTGTCTGTCTGTCATTGCTTCCGCACTCGTATGTAATGAATATGTATATATCAATATTCCTTTTATATAACTCAGCTGAATGGCCATCTAAATCTGGAAAATTATTAGGCTTTTCACTCATACTGTTGATTCTTCTGTAAGTGCATCCAACATTTTCACTTGTGCTGTGGTCAGTAGAGAAAGTCTAATTTGGAGGTTGTGGGGGAGGGGATAGGCTTGTTATAGTTACTAAAGTGCAAGTGGAAATGTTGCATACATGTACAAAATATGTGGGGAAATGTATGCATCTGCAAATGACCCAAAACCAAACAAAACATTTTTTTTTCTTGCCAGGCAAACACGATTCTCTTCATTTGCATCTTGATCATCATAATCTCAACGCTGACAAACATGAAAAGTAAATCTCTGAAAATCAAACGACCTGAAAGTGAACATCGTTTCATTATAAGTGTGGCTCTGAAAACCATGAGCCAGTTTATCATCCTTGGTTGCTCCTGGTTTCTGGGATACTTCGCACAGAGCAATAAGGCGTTGGAGATTATCTTCCTGTTCCTCAACTCCCAGCAGGGCACCTTTATCTTCCTGGTCTACTGTGTCCTCAGCCAAGAGGTCAGCCATTACCTGCTCTAGCTCAGGGCCACGGCAACTGACCCAACATTCTCCAAAACACACCATTCTTCTACTGTTACCAGTTGTGTTTAAAACATCCAGAAAAGGAATCGACAAATTTAAATTAACCACGATGAATTGGGGTAACATTCTAGAACAGGGTGAATGGGGTAGAATATTCTTGAACACAGTCAATGGGGGGAAGACATTCTAGATTCAGCCAACTACCACAGTTTGGTACAGCAACCACACATTATATTTACTGGGGTTTGGTGGCTTCTGTTGGGTCGGTGTGGTCTGGCCTTAGTATTATACTGTTTCCTTTTTTATTTTTGTCTTATAACTGCTTATTAATTATTAATGTTGTACCTCCATTTTTGTGTTTGAAGAGACAAATTATCCATTGCATTTTGTTAAAATGCAGTGTCAAATGGATCAACAGAATGGTATAAAATGTTTTGGTAACAAATCTTACATTAACTTCCATTAAAAGTTCAGAAGGTTTTTTTTGCTTCTCCTGTAAGGTTACTATTTTGGAGAACCAAGATTTAGTTCTGAAAGCAACAACAAGGCTTACAACAATTTTTACATCCTCAGTGTCACCCCTTTCTCCGTCTTCTTCTTCTTTCAGGTGAGGCAGTTGTATATGAAGTGGTGGCGAGCTCTGCATGCTGGCCGTATTCCACATACTACTGAAGATCTGCATACCACAACATCGAGATTCTAGATTTTAACTTTTATTGAGCATCATATGGTGTTTATTCAGGGTTAATGATTTGAAGATTTGTATATTTTCTTATATATTCTTGTCTTAGAGTTTTAGTTTTAGGTGTGAGGGTGTGTTCTGTGGTGAATTACATTTGGAATAGAGAAAGTAAAAATATTTCAGCAAAGATAACCTGTTTCATTTTAAAATGATCATTTATAAAGATGTTGTTAACATTCTAGCTTCAACAATTTATTCTGAGAATAGAAACATGACTGTAGCCTAAATGTCGACTCTTCTTCATCATTATTTTTACTTTTTGTAGGGTAGACTCCTGTGTTTCATTGAGAATACTTTTCTTCCTGTCTCTGAAAAAACAATCTCTGCTGTTGTGTTTTTTCACACGCTTCTTCACAAATAGTGATGTAGTGTAATTAATTTTTAAATATATATAACACTTAATAGGTACCGTACATATTTACCGCAGACTGCACATAAAGAAAAGTTTTTTTTGTTTTTTTTTTTCATGAAAAAGCTTTCTTCTGAGCAGTGCCATCGAAGAACTACTTATGGAAAACATTTGAAACTTAATTGCAGTGCTCCAAAAGACATTTTTTCACTCCTTTATTACCTTTGAAAACAGAAGTTTAATATTTTCATTTAATTATGTTCTATATATTTATTCCTATTTTGTTTTTGCTTTAGTTCAGATTCTCTTTTTTAGGTGGTCTGGTACTCTGACTGTTATTCCAGTTTTTGTGTCTTTTATAAACCAATAAATAATAAATGAAATTATGCAAAACCATTTTTCTTTTATGTTTTTCATTTATATAATATACGCTCACATGCAGTATATATTGATTGCCCAATTCCCACACTTTTTTAAAAATTATATTTCCCTGTACATCAGATGACATGTTGCACATTGTGAATTGTTTGTTAGAGTCTGATGTGTTTTTGAGTTTCCAAGATTAATTTCAAGACTTAAAAAAAAAACATCATCCAGTCTTTATCTGTGGGCATATGGTTGTGTTGGATTTCATTAATTTATGTGCCTGTGAGAAGGACAGTTAATAATAACAGCAGAAGCAAAGTTCTGTAATTGATCTATTAGCTTTAACGCCACATTAAGCTAGCCAGCAAATTTACAGTCCCAGGAATATCATCCATTCTTGACCTGGGGACATCATACAGTTGTGTTGGGGCAGTATATTTAATAAAAACAGCAGTAGGAAAGTTCTAAAACTGATCGTTTAGCTTTCTTACCACAGTAAGTTAGTATATTATGCATATTTGCTGGCCATGATCTTTGGGTCCTCAGACACCACTGCATTTAAAATGGACATCTAGTGGAAATCACTGCATGGGCTCAGAAATACTTCCGAAAACCACTGTCTATGAAAACAGTTTGTCACTGCACCCACTAATGCTAAGTAAAACTCTTAAACGCAAAGAAGAAACCATATATAAACAGGATCTAGAAATGCTGCCACCTTCCCTGGGCCCGAGCTCATTTACAATGGACTGAGGTGAAGTGGAAATATGTCCTGTGGGCCGATGAATCAACATTTAAGATTTTTTACAATCATGGACACTGTGTTCTCTGGGCTAAAGACCACCTGGCTTTTTATCAGTGCACAGTTAAAAAGCCAGTATTCATGATGGTATAGGGGTGCATTAGTGCAAATATTTTATTGTATTATTTCAGCAAGACAATGCCAAACCACATTTTGCATGTATTATGTCAGCATGGCTCCCTATTAAAAGAATTCGGGAGCTAAACTGACCTGCCTGCAGTCCAGACCTGTCACCACTGAAAACATTTGGCACATTATGAAATGAAAAATACGACTCCGAACTGTTGAGCAGCTGAAATCCTATATCATACAAGAATGGGAAAACGTCATGGAATATAGAAATTTGGTTTTCCAGACCTGAAAAGTCATCAAAAATAATAAGTGCTGGAAAAATCATGGAATTTCTGGAGTTTTCCCCATGTTATTCATCAACTCATCACATTTGAATCATTGAAGAGATTAGACTGCAAAAAGCACAGAGATCTAAGACTACTGTATCTTCACTAGCTGAGACTAGCTTTACCAGCATGTTAATATGAATCTTGGCTAGCTGATGTGTTACACTCAGGGTGAATTAACAAGCCCAATGTAATAGTAAAAACACACTGCTGCTGCTTCTCACACCAAGACCTGCATGAACAGCTTCTTCACTGTGAGTCAAGCTAGGCTTATACTTGACACATTGTAAGTGGAGCGAGGGTGCTGCACCGGAAACAACGCAAAAACTACACCCTGCGTGCTGTCATGGTATGTGGTCATGCACCTCCTAATTTTTGTAACTTCGTGATCAGCACGTGTGGCCCTTCATTTAGAATGACTTGCAGATCAGGTTCACCTCTACAAGTGCATGTGTGAAACCTCTCTCATATCATATCATAGAGAAAACGGAGATGCTACTATAAACGTGTTTGCTTCACGTTTGCGAGCTGTCTGCAGAGTATTGCATGAAACTGTATACACAGCCTTCACAACACTCAGCCTGCACTGCAGAAGCTAAACAAACATCATATGCTGCAGCTACAGTAGCCTCTTATGCTCCTTTGAACCACCGGTGGTTCCAAAACACACTTTGTCATATTCTTCATAACTTTCATATTTCATAAGCTACATTCAAAAGCTGCAAGTGTCTTCTTTTCAGTCAAATGGATGAGTAATGTAATTTTAAACCCTTATAATAAAAGAAGCTGCACTTACAATTTTTTTGTTGTCGACTTAAAGTCGACCTATTGTTCCACAAATCTGGGCTATAAACAGATGGTGTCTCTTTGGTGATCTGCTCTGTAAAAAATATTTTTATAAAATAATACAAAGATTTTTGGCTTTCAGTGGTAAATTGTAAGCATATAGCAATATGTGTATGATCATAAAACACATATTCTGTTTAATCTTAGGGAACTTTTACAAAAAAATATATATAATATGAATTTGCTTTTTTTCCATGCGGTTATTGAATAATTTGCCTTAAGATTTGGTCATGTAAATTCAGATGAACAAACCAAAATATACCCTGGAGCATAAGACGTTAAGAAATCAGGAGCTAACTGCTGAGGTCGTTTCTCTGAGGTCGGAGTGTTCAACGTGGTGCAGAAATCAATACATGGGTCAGATTTCAGTTTCACTTTACATTTAAACTGCGTTTCGAATAATAACAATAATTTTGGCTAATAATATTTAAATATCAAATTAATATTCAGATAATGTAGGCCTTTTCTTCCTCTTGGAACAGCTGCCTGTATAGCTGGACTTGTGTGAAAATCTGATGATTAGAAATCACCAAACTGTTCTCAGTAAACATGACCAGTAATGGATGTTGTGTTCTCTGGGCCGAAGAAAAAAAGGACCATCCAGTTTGTTACCAGTAAAAAGTTTAAAAAACAGGGTCTGTCAGGGTATGGGAGTGTGTTAGTGGGCAACATATGCTGCCTTTCAGATACCATCATTTTCAGGTACATCCATGCTTTTTTCAACATCTCAATGCCAAGACACATTCTGCATATGTTACAACAGTGATCTCTGTTTTATTAGCATTTCACATACTGTCCAACCTCTTTGGAACTGGGCTTTGTAAATCTGCTAAACTTTGTAAGCTGTTTGTTGGAAACAGGCACCTTTTCAGACTGACTTAAATCAGCAGTTGTGAGACCTTTATTAAAGAGTTGTAGCACACAACATAGCACAGATTTTGGGATAAAGATATGAGTATACATTTGTTATCAGCAATATGTATTGTGTGTTCCGTGGCTAGTTTAAACAAAACAGCTTCAAAAGCTCTCATGTGTCTATTCCTTGCTCCGTTCCCCTTTCTTTACCAGTTCAGCTAATTAATGTCACATGTTACAGGCTCCAGAACACCCTAGAATAAGGTTTGGGTTGTAACATGAACAACGTCTGTTTAAATGTTAATGTCTTTTATGTCTATCCAAATGTGCTGTATATGTAAAATAAAAGTTAGCTCTCTCTCTTTCTCAGAAGCCTGCTCTGCTTTGTTCTTTGGGGTTAACAGCTTCAGCTTGTCACAGAAATGTGCTTCTGTCTGGATATAACTTTAGTTTGTGAGTAACTGTTAGTTTGTGGTTCTGTAGCAGCAGCTTGTGAGTTATGTGTCCAAACTGACTCCACTGTAGGGAGTGGTCTAGTAATGGGTTCAGCATAACCAGTAAAACATGTCTTTGTTGGGAAGATTATTTGCATCAAGCAACTTATTTTGAAATTTGAGATAAAGAATGGTATGTTTTGCTTTTACAGAGTTTACTGGCACTAACTTCAGATTAGGTGCTGCTGCCACGTTCATACTGAAAACGAATTCCATTCTGAATGTTCTCATTAGGGTCACATGGCCACAAATCAGCTAAGTATCCAACATATGAAAGAATCTCAGATCTGATTTCAAAAGATTAGAGTTAGTTAAACACCCCCAAGTACACCATAGTTATATCTTCATACAACCCCAAGTATTAAATAGTTCTCAGAGACCCTAAGAAGGTCCATATTTTGTTATAAACTAACTTGCAACACAGAGGGATAGAACGTGGACCACCAGGGGTCCCATGAGGACCTGCTTGAGAAGCACTGTGTTAGACTCTTCATTCAAAATAAAAATTGTACACTTTTTTCAGACATGAGAATATGATAAACACATTATTAACATTACTGTCAAATCAAAGCAACATTTTTTTTTAAATAACGGCAGTGTTCCTTGTCCAATAATGCTGATTCTTATGTTTGGAACACTGCCTCTTTAAAGCAATCTGATTTGGCTGATCACCCCATTTGGGCTGATGATAAGGATGTCTTCTAGATATGTTTTTTGATCCAGCCATGGCTTGCTTTTACTGTGGGGATGTGCAGTATCAATGGATATGGCTGCCACAGGGATTTCTTAACAGCACCAGTAGTTACCATTAAGCACTCAGAAATCATCTCTCCTGGGACTGAGCACATTTTGCAGTCCTCTGTAACTATTCAGTATGTTGATATTTATTGAGTAGTGAGAAGGAGAAAATGTATGACAAAGTTCTGAAGGCACTTCCTGATTTTTTGACTAGCAAGGGACACAAGGCCAGTCATGACAAAGCTCAATTGTGTTGTCCTGGTGTGCAATATTTGTGACAATGGGCTACACAGGGTTCTAGAGAAATTTTGCCTGCCAGAAGCTCTGCTATTAATGCAATGTCATTGCCAACAATAGTGCACAAATTGCAAGCTTTCTTAGGCCTATGCAACTACTGTAGACGTTGGATTGATTCTTATGCTGCGATTTCACAACCACTACACGATCTGTTCTAAACTGTGTAAGAGCAGTATATGCTATCTAGCTGATACTGTTAGCATTTGCACCATGGACACTAGAACAAGTAGTCACAGTCACATATCCTCATTCTGTGTCAGCACTGCTCAGTAATGGCAGTGTGATGTTAGTTTCCAGATAGGGCACCTGTCCTGCAGTTTTGACAACTCCTAATGTGGTGATTTTTTTTTTCTTTTCTTCTATGATGTCCTTACTAACTGATGCTA